AAAATCCAGAAATCCAACCCCTCGCTCTCACTTCAGCTAATGAAAGGAGGAGATGGAAACTATTGATTTGAGTAATTTTAAAATTTAATTTAGAGGCCTCTCGGAAGGACGTTAAAGTCTCAAAGAGAGGGGAAAGCTTTCAATCCCAATTGTTATTTATATTTATACAATGGGCCACGTTGGCAAATTTGAGTTCCAAAAGTAATATAAAAGCATGAGCTTGATCCTCGGAATCTTACCCAGACCCACTGAACCTAAATCATCTTACTTTGTTCCCTTCCCTTTTTCTAACATATTAGCAATAAAGTGTCTTGCATTCACCCACCAGGCTTAAGTCGGCCTCAGTTCTCGGTCTCTTACTTGGCGGAGACTTTTTCAGGGTTCGCGGGGGACAGTGCGCGGCGGGTTTACGGCCGAGGCCACTCTGGAGACCCGCCTGGGGACCTAGCCCGGTGGGTCGCGGGGAGCGGGGCTCGCCTCGTGGGCTTCTCAGACTATTTTCTAACCGCGCCCTCGGCCACCTTTGGACGATGCCATCTGCGCCCGGTGTGTTAGGACGCTCGCGGGCTGGGCGCCGGCGCGGCCGGTTGCCGGGGAAGGAGGACAGAGAGAAGGACCGCAAGCATCTCGAGGTGACAAGTGCAGTTAGTTCTTCATTGTTTGGGCATTTTCCCCTCCTAGCGAATAAACCTTCTGTTGAGCCCGAGACCTAAAAGTCAACAAAGAAGGCCAGGCGCCTCGTTCTGGCTCCTGCGGCCCCAACGCCCGCGCTGCCGCGGCTGCTCCCGCTGCGTAATCCCTTCCTCGGAAACCGGGTCACACAAATGCCGGAACGCCCGGGGCTGGGACGCGGAGCCCCAGGGCCAGGAGGAAAACATCTGTGGTTCCGAGGGAGTGCTGGGACCCTCCCGGAGCGCGCCGCCTTCCCGCGACCCCCTCCCACCTCCCTTTCGCCCTGGAGCTTCCAGATTTCTGCACCTCGGACGCTCCTGCAGCAGACGGCCGGAAAGGGGATGCTGACCGCTCAGCCGCGGTCCACCGGACTCGCTTTATTTAGGAATTTCGCCCGAGGTGGGGGAGGGGTCTCCCGAGGGAGAGGGAGGGAGCGAGAAGGGAAAAACCCAAGTGCAAAGCTCCAGAGGCCCTCCGATCCATTGACTAGCCGCAGAGCAAACATTTTTAGAAAACAAGAAAAAGGTTTTGAGAGTGAGTATAGTGTTGGGGAGGGAAACTTCAGATGTTACCTTCACCTTGTCCCAGGCCTGAAACATTGTTTTAAAATTGATAAATTAAATTTAGGGATGAAGAAAAGCTCACCGGTTGTGTTCAGAAACTCCACAACTTTAATGTGTGTTTCCAAGTAGAAAGCAGCTCAGCGTTTTCCACAGGATAGCTACCAGTGTTTAAACTGAAGATAAAATTTAATTTCCATTGTCCCTTCGCGATCCCCTCATAGTAGAAGAAACCGGTGAGAATCATTACGGCAGGAGGGATTAAACAAAGAAAATCCTATTAAAGTTCTCAACTTCTGTTTTCATTCTCTGAAAGCTAGATACCCGATTCATATCACTGAAAGTATAAAAAAACATTATTTTACTCAGGAGTCTAACAGATTTGAATAAGCCATGGCAGTAAAGAATTCCTGGAGTGATAGAAATGGAACACTTCGTTGTTTGGGCACTTTAAATAATTGATCTCAATTCCACGAAAATGCTTATTACATTTCTTTGCAGAAAACTTCTGTGATCGATACAAATTTCTCTCAATGCAGGCCAATGTAGGAGACCTGTAGCCCAAATTAATTAACCTTTCCTCAAGATCAATTGGTCTTCTGTTGATTTAGCAGTAATATTGCAGAACATTTAGCTATAATGTATTTTAATGTGATACTTCAATATGTCAAGAGGAAAAATGCTTTAAAAAGATATAGTTGCTTAAATTATGTAATAGATTAATAATTTGTTCAAATGTTTTACTTTCAAAAATCAAATTTAAATTGCTTATTTGAATTGTAGTAAAATGTGTTTTGCAACTAAATGGAATTAAGATAATGTCTAATTACTTCAAGATAATTATGTGCAAAAAGGTGATTATTTGTAAGCTACCTTGGGCTAAATAGGAAATTAAATTATGCTGAAATTTAGAAATAAGATTTTCCTGAACTGAAAGAATCATTGGCATGTGTAGAAACTCATGAGAGTAAGAATGTAATAAAATGAAATAACTTGGAAGGTTTTACAACCTTACTACTTAAAAATAGAATCTATTTGGAGACAGAAAAGGTTTTTTTAAAAAAGTCATTCATTCAAGTTTTATTTTCTATAAAAGATCCTAGTGTATCCAATTAACATTTAAAAGCAGATTACTTTAAATATTCTAATTTTTTCCCCCTTCCAAATAGTAAAGTTTGAGGCCATAATGTTTCCACTGGTGTTTCTCTTTTTAGCTCCTGGTCTAGCTCAGTTCATTGAACTTTGGACAGCTGGGACTGCAGCCTTCATCTTTTTTTTTTTTTTTTCCTTCTCTAGCCATCATACTACTAAGCAATTTGGGGCTGGAACATACCCATTCCGTTCAACTTTAACTTGTAAAGTGCATGCATTTTCCTTCCTATGAATATGTCTTTTAATCTGACAAAGGGGAAATCCTCCCTTGTTACCTTTCTTTTTCTAACTTCCTCATTTCTCCAATTATATTAGCTCTGAGTGCACAGTGGAAGAGCAAAGCTCATGGTGAGCATGAGCTGCCCTCCGCAGCCCTGGGAAGTGAGGAGCATCCCTCCTTCTAGAAATCACTTTCTGATGTTTTGGGGTTCTCTATGTCCTAGTCAACTTAGAGTATAAAAACAGAATATTCTTTCTCAAAATCCTGGAAGGAAAGGGCTTGAATGGAATAAATGCTTGAAGACCTCAGAATTCAAGTGGGATGCCAGTCAAGGCACATCCAGAGCAAGTTCAGACCGGGTCTGGTCAGTGCCATTCTGAGTGAGGTCGCCTTAGGTTAACTTTCTATTTCTTTCCTCAACTCCTCTTCAACATTACACGCCAGGGACTTTTTTTTTTTCCTCCTTTTTTTTAAATTACTGAAACTAAGAAAAACAACCTGGAAATACCCCTCCCCCAAAGCATTGCCTGGAATTAGGGGGGAAATGTTTTCAACTGGAAGCCTCCTGAATTTCTTTCCCCTCTCTCCTATGAAATTTCAGTTAGTCCTTTGCTTGTCTGATCATGTCCCAGGTCCGCTTTCTCTCTCTCCCCCCGTCTCTCTCTCTCTCACACACACACACTAAGGAGTTGTTATTTTAAAACACAAACAATTTAATGAGAATAATGTAAGAGGCATCTTAGGGGTGGGGGAGTGTTTCGTTTATAAATTTAAGGACACATTATGCACGAGGGAGCAAGGAGACTCCTGCACTCCTGGAAAGCTGATTTTCTTAGCGCGATTTAGGGGACTGGGTGTTTCTGGAACGTTCCCGTAGCCCGGGGTCCCATCTGGGAGCCTACTGCTTCGGTTCCATAGCCCAGCTACAAACGCCTAACCCCAAAGCTCCTCAACTCGGAGGGCCACCTCCTGCCGCGTTCTCCGCCGCTTCTTGCGAGGTGGAGGCCGATTCACAAGCTCCAACTGCAACGAGCCGTGTTGTAGCATAGGGCACCGGCCAGGTTTCCTCGCTTCTGCCTGAAATCACTGCCTTCTGCTGACACGCGCTTCCTTTGTGTTATGCCTGGCTAATATATTAATGGGGCGGATAGCCCAGATCCTTTGAGGAGGGGTAGCGGGGGGGGGGGGTTGGAGACAGGGAAGGGAGAGAAGGAAAGGGAACGGATCTAGCTGCTGACCCTTGGGCCAAAGTGTTCAGAGGCGAGCCGGCGGCAGGAGAGGGAGGGGGGAGCGGGTTGCGAATCCAGGTGGGGAAAGTTCACGTTGAGGGCGCTATAAGCAAACTTAAATGCCTGCACCAAGTGATTCAGAAAGAGCGGTCTGATGCTAATGTGCAGCCCCGGGTTCAGAACTGAGAGGCCCGGACGCCACGCACGCTAGAGAACCTGCCCCGCTGGCCGAGTGGGCCATGCGCCTCCGGGTCCCCCGCCCCGCCTTCCGCCCCCACCCGCCGCCCCCCGCCCGGAGCTGGGTCGCCCTGCGTGGTGTCCTCGAGTCACAGGTGGAAAATCCTAACTGCGTGTGGCACGGATGCCCCTGCCTGCGGTGTTGTTACATCGCCGCAGACTCATCTAGCTCTAGCTGAGACAGCCACCTTAGATGCTGGGTCCCAGTGACTAAACCTAAAGACTTGCAACCTCCTTCACCCGCTGCCTTCCCCAGCCTCACCTCCAAAGGGCTGTCTGGCCTCCTAGTCGGAGGTCTTAACTGATTAACCACGTAGGCATCCCCTGCGCTACGCCACGAAGTGGGCGCGAGGAGCTGCGACCCCAGGCCCCAGAGGACGGCCCTGGTGGGTGCGGGTCTGTTCCCCGCTTCCAGCCTCTCAGCTGGTACGGCCGAGCCCCCTCCCGCCAGGCCTGCGGCCCCGCCCGCCAGACGGTGCTGGCGCACCCCGGAGACATATGCTGTCCGCAGGCCGCGCGGCCCGACGTGGTGCTCATTGCAGAGGCGGTTCTCAGCCCATCAAAAGCCCAGGCTTTCTTCAGCCGTATGGGCCGCGAGGTGAACAACAATGCCCGGGCCCCTTCACTTCAAAAGCGGCGATCAGGGGAAAGGCTCCCCTAGAGAATTTTTTTTTTTTTTCTCCTCTGCCTTTCATTCCAGGTTTAAAAAAAAAAAAAAAAAAAGGCATCAGCAACTCCAGGGCCCGGGCGAGCCTAATGCCCTTTGATGGGGATTGAATTCATTATCTCCAATAACACAATTGTGCTTGGCCAACGAAAAGAGCAAAGCGGGGCTCTATCCCGCCCGAGGGGCTCGGCCGGGCGGGGCGGGCCAGCGAGGCGCGCTCCTGGGACCCGCTCTGAGGCGCAGTTGCAGCGGGCCGGGCCGGGATGCGACGCCCCCGGCGCGCGGGGGCGCGGCCCTCCCGGAGGCTGCAGGACCCGGTGGCGCCGCCGGCGGAGGCAGAGGGGGCGGGAGCGGGGCGGCTCTCGGGCTTGATTTATTTTTCGTGTCTCCCTTTGCAGCCATTCCCCGAGGGCTGGGTGTTTACTCTCTTCCCTCCCGGCCTCCTGCTGTGAAGTAGCGGGGGTACCCGCGCGCCCGCCAGAAAGGACGCCCTGCGCCCATGGCTGAGCGCGAAGGGCTCTCAGCATCCTGGCGGCGCAGCCCGACCCCCGGCGTCCTGGGCTTCAAACCAGCTATACTCGCAACGCAGCCCTGATAAACCCGGCTTTAAATAGCCCCCGTCCTGCAACCCGCTCCGCTCAGGCTTTCAGAGCAGCCACCTGCATTAATCGCAGAACGGCGCCAGGAGCCTGAGCCCCGACGGCCGGACACCACGTCGATACCCGGGCGCCAGGTCCCAGCCCCGGGCGTGAGGTGCTGTACCTTCGCTTCCGGTCGGGTGGACACTGCCCGGGACCTCGACTCCACGCGAGCGCCTCCTCCCGGCTTCCACTGCCATCTTTGCCCTTTCAGACTCATCCGGCCCCTGCTGTCCTGAGTGGACGCAGGTGAAAACAGGGGCTAAAACGGGTAGTTAGGTACCTTGATTTCAGGGGTGTGTGTCTGTGTGTGCGTGTATGCAATTCCCTAAGAATCAAGATCAAAGAAGACTTCTCTACAGTGTCTAAAATTTGAGTCATTTCATTGCTAGGCGTACTTTCTACTCAACCCTATTTCCCCCGTCACTCATTATTGTGGACAGTATGTGTTGCAGTTTTATTTCAATCAGATAACGAATAATAATAAAGAAAATGGAAACTTTTTTTTTTTTTTGCGAGAATACATAAAATGCTCTATGGTAGTAACCATGGGTTAGGATTAGTCATCCATCGCCAATTAGTCATGGCTATCCTAATCTTGAAGCTTTGACTCTTCACCTTTCTCTTCAGGGAATTAGAGCCAGCACACATATACTATAGGCTTCTCTGGTGGCTCAGACCCGTAAAGAATCCATCTACAATTCAGGAGAACCAGGTTCAATCCCTGGGTCTGGAAGACCCCCTGGAAAAGGGAATGGCTACCCACTCCAGTATTCTTGCCTGGAGAATTTCATGGACAGAGGAGCCAGGCAGGTACTGTCCCTGGGGTTGCAAAGAGTTGGATAGGACTAAGCAACTAGAATAATAGATATCGATAGGTAGATAGTTAGATATGCCAGATATAGAGTGTGTGTGTGGACACACACACAATTAGATATGCAGATTTAGAAGAGCATACGGAAGATCCTTCTGTCCTCATGACTGTCCCCTAAGCATGGAAGCAATAAATTAAGTGATCTGTTGATTTGGGGGCAAACCAAGAAAAGCATTTCAGATATAAGACTTTCAGCTAGGTTATTCTCATCAAGAGATACAGGATTTTTTTTAGGTTTTAAAAAAAATTATTTTTAATTGAAAGATGGTTGCTTTACAATATTACATTGGTTTCTGCCATACATCAACAGAGATACAGGAATTTTGTTATTTATTCCCTTCCCTTTTTCTACTCTACTCACCTTCAGCATTAAGTGGTGAAAACTTTACATATTTATCCCAAGAAACTTGGACCACTTCCCCCAGTTTTTAGGCCTAGGAATCTGGGGGAGGTGGAGAAGAAAAATCTGTTGTGATAGGTAATGTTAAGGAGAAGACTTCAGTTCTTTCTTCCTTCATTTTCTTTTCTTTTTTTCTCTCCTCTTTTTGTCTTACACAGTAACATCCTGAATACAACTTACATTAAAACATGTACTTACTTTTATGAAGACTTTATGGTTTCCATTTACATCAAAAAGGATGTAAAACATTGACTTGTAGATATTCTGAATCTCTAATAAAGAGGTCTATGGGTAACGCTAATCTTTAGATGAGTAATCAAACGGTGGCTCAGAGGTTAAAGCGCCTGCCTGCAAAGCGGGAGACCTGGGTTCGTTCCCTGGGTCGGGAAGATTCCCAGGAGAAGGAAATGGCAACCCACTCCAGTATTCTCCATGGACGGAGGAGCCTGGTGGGCTACAGTCCATGGGGTTGCAAAGAGTTGGACACAACTGAGCAACTTTACTTTCACTTTCTTTCTTCTATCAAATTCCTAATCTGTATTACAAATTGTCAAGGAATGAATGACTTCTCCCCTGCACCCTACCCCACACTTTATTAACTTTTTAAAGAATGGATCTGAATCTTGGCAACCTAGACATTTACAGTGTGGTGTTATTTAAGTCACCTTTTATAAAATCTCTTCTGTAACATCAAGAAGAGATTTAATCTTCATCCTCAACATGACATACTATTCCACACCTGGTGGACTGCTGTGCTTCCTTTGTTCATCATCACATGTTTAGAAATACTGGGGAGAGAAAGGCATTTATACTGGGTAAAGATGGCCGTGACTTAGATTTGACAGACTAACAATTTGAGTAAGAGTTTAACATAGCATGCATGACCAGAATAAGTTATATGTAGGTATAGCTACCTGGGAATTAATTTTTACAACATTTTGAGGACTTCAGAGTAACCACATTCTGGACTCAATGTAAGAACTATTCTGTGAGTAACAATATGTTCAAAATAACCACCAAAAAAGCTTTAATTCAGACATATAAACAATTATGTGACTTCAGGTGAGCAGGGTGCCATAGGATGGATGAGTTACTAAATAAAAGATATCACGATTTTCATGCAGATATCTTTGATCATGAAGCAAAATTAGGAGGGAAGGATATGTAAAGCATTTCAGTAGAAGTGAGAATTCAATGTTAGCTAAAGTGCAACCCCAGAGCATATTTTAGCCTAGAGATTCACTGCCTGGGGCTCTAGTATATGGTAACAGGAAAGATGGATTTATTATATTTTCTACTCTACTCACCTGTGAGTTTATTCCCTCAGAGTTTTCCCAAATCAAGTCCAAAATAGATTTAAATGTCAAGAACCGAAGAACTCCCACTTCTTGAGTTTATCAGTGTATTGGAGAAGCACTATATTTCAATGCAAGACATCTGGCCAACAGAATATTTTCTCTGATATTTTCGACTTACATTTTAAATGAGCTTCCTGGAAGGTCCATTTTCATTCAGCCCTAAACCTGTTTCAGATACTTGGATGTTTATGTCTCTATTTATGTAACCAATCTATACACATTTACTTTCTCTAATTCTCACCTAAGATTGGTCCAAATAAAGTGTCCCAGGTGGGAAAGCACCTTTAACAAGTATAAGCATTTGACTTTCTATTCTTAATACTGAAAGGGGAAAATTAAAGTTAAACCTCAACAATTCCTTTTAATTATACCGGCATTATAAACAGGAAACTTGATCCATTTGGGAATGCCACTCAAATCATGCAGCTACATCATGCAGCTTCTTCATCTTTATGTATGACTATTGTAAGAAGTAGGCTTCCTGGTGGCTCAGTGGTAAAGAATCTGCCAATGCAGGAAACATGGATTCAGTTCCTGGGTCAGGAATATCCCTGGAGAAGGAAACAGCAACCCACTCCAGTATTCTTGCCTGGGAAATCCCATGGACAGAGGAGCCTGGTGGGCTACAGTCCATGGGGTCGCAAAAGAGTTGGACACGACTTAGCAACTAAACAACAACAAATTGTAAGATGTAAAAGAACTTCAGTTTCTCAAAACGTGTTGAGTTCTTAATTTATAAGAACAAAATCAAGAAACCAATCTGGAGGTTGGTTCATTTAAAAGAAATACTGTTCCTCAGACTAGAGAGAGTTTAAGAGTATTTGTTAATCTGTGGTACACAGATTTACATGCGACCTACCAGGACTATATTATGTCAGAGTTTTCTTTAATAAAGACACTGAAGAAGTTCATTATTAAACTTCTAAAGAGAAGTTAAACTTTTAGATTTCACTTTCAGAGAATCCAGATTCTAGGTTCCCAAGGCTCTGAAGGATTCACCACTTTCTCTACAGTGACCACTGCGCCATGCTTTGCCAAGAATTAACACTCCGGACTATTCCTGTCTCTCAAGTTACAACATCTCTACTGAGTCAGGCAATTAGAAGGAGATGCTTATTGAATTTGACCAATAATTCACTTTGGAAGTATAGTCATAGTAAGAACAGACTGAGGGTTAAGTAGGGAGGAAAAAAATGAGAAATGAAAAATGACTTCTACTACATTCCACTTACCTCCATCATCTTATAAAATAGAATAGGTGAAACAGAAAATTGGAATTGTAATAAAAGTGAAAGATTGTAAGGCCTGTGATGACTCAAACAGTAACAGTAAGAAGTTCTGTAATAATATTATTATCATACAAATGTATTGAATGCAAAATTCCAATGATATCAGCTTCTCCCAAGTTGTCTGTTGGGTGGGTTCTGAGATGGACAAGTTCTACTCAATTCTTGTTTCATATGGTATAACAAGTTATAGGGTTGGGTTTTATTTAAGTCTCTGTATTTGGTATAATCTTAAAAATATTTAAATAGCCTTCTTAAATGAAGTGAGGTCTGCCTTTTTTTAAGGAATATATTTAAAAATCTCACATTCACTTAGAGTTGTTATCGTAGGATGTGATTTGTGAAACAACCTTAGATTTTAATAATAAGCAGAAATTAACAGAGTAACATAGACCTTTTTCTTTTGCCTTATCTTCAGCAACAGAAAGCATGATATAGTAGCCAGTGTTCAACCTGAAAAAAAAAATGTAGAACCTAGTGAAGTCCTTCTTGACTATGCTCAAAACCCCCCAGAATGGATTCCTCATGAGGCGTAATAAACATGACTACCATGCTGGGATCAAAGAAACAAAATTTTTTTTTTCTTAATGTTTGCAGTTCAGGAGGTAAACATGTTCTCAAGAGAAACAAGAAAATAGTGTCAGGAATGTGTGAGGGAAGAAAAGCTAAGGGAAAGGGAGGAAGGAAGAGGTTCCATAGCTGAAAAAGTGAAGTATTGGGTCTTCTATAGATGCACAGACCAAGAGACCGAAGGAATAAGAGATGATATGGAGGCAAATTAATGGCTGGAGAGAGCCAGAGAGTGTGTGCTGAGGAAGGGCCAGGCGTGAAAAGATTTTGTGTCGTCATAGCAACCGGCTCAGCCCTGCTCCCCCTGAAGCCCATTCAGCTCTGAGCTGCCGGAACACGTTTTTAATTAAAGCGTATAAAAGTTGTTTTGTAAGGACTTCTCCTCATCCGATAGATTTCAAAATGGTTAATCAGGCTTCATCTCCTTTTGATGCTCACAAGAGCATGGGCTCCTTCAAGCATAGAAACTGATGCTGCTGCCACTGGCCCTGAGTAAGTCATCTCAGTCACACCTAATACTGGGAGTGAGCAAAACATCTAGCTATTTAGACACACATAATCAGAGAATTCAAGAGGGAGTAGGGAGGACCATTTTTATTATTATAAGTGCAAATGTTGATTTTCTTTGCTCTAGATACTATGGAATTCATCCTTCTGGATGATGGTTGTCTCTGGTTGATGTTCTATTTAGCTTTTGAAAACAGCAAGATTATCCCTCCTTGGGAGCTACAGTCCAAAAACCAAAATTAAT